TCACATCCTTAAAGCATGGGACCTTGTTCATGTTCAAGGCCTGGGTAAATTCATTATCATTTGAGTAAGCCAGAAGCTGAACTGCCAGATGCAGTCTTAAACCTGCTTTACTTAAGCGATGCAAAAGAGATGTTACAGAACCACAAATGATAAATCTAAAATGCTGTTCATGAGAAGGATTCTCAGTTAGTGTAAAAAAATAATAGTTGTCACATATATCACATATGGTCCCACTTTTTTCAAGACTGAGCACTAGCAAGAATAAGGAAGCAGCTATAGCATCTGGTGTGATTGTATAAGAACACAATGTTCCATTACGAAAATTGTATCAGAAGTGTTAACACCAGTAGCAGAGTAAAGGCATTGGTCTTTAAACACAACAGTCTTCTGATTTCTAATACAAGTTCAATAAAATATAGTAAGTGTCAGGATGATTAAAGTTCACTGTAATTGCTCAGATATGAGATTTTTCAACAGACTGATGTGTTCGTTGGCACAGCTCAAGCGCAGTAAATACATTTGCTTAGAGGCTGGTATGACCGATAGCCTGATAACTAATTTTGAAAAAAATGACTATGAATAATACATTCAAGGGAATTGGTGTATTGCCTACATAAGTATTTTTACTAGCAAAATTCTAGTCCAACCAAATTCATATGCAACAAAAAGGGAAAGCTTTGAAATCAGTTCCCTCTTTTGAAACTTTCTTGTGGAACTGATGTCTATTTATATATGTACCTGTATCTTTCATTGAATATTGAAATTAAAAAAAATAGGAAATATAGCAAAAAGCAACACTTTTAAAAATAAATAATTATATGCTCTAATTTAGCCTACTAACAGGTCTTAAGTTTTCTTTGTAGAGTTCAGCATGTTTTGTGGTAAACAAACATTCCTTTCACCTAGATTATTAGCTTTTTCCTTAACATGTTTTACTGGATATGATTTTAAGGTCTGTTCTAAATATTAATTTCACATTTTAATATCTCTAATGTTGCATTTTTTCTTTAGATGGCTACACTGTCTTATGTTAAATCAAAATAAAAATAGGTGATAAATTGATTACATGGTAAAATACTTATCTTGATTATAAAGTAATATGAATGTCATACTAAAGAATCTCAGTATTAAAGTGATTATATTTTTAGTCACTTTATTATGTGTATATATATATATATATATGAGTTGAATTACTCTGAGTTTAAAAATTATGGTATTTGGATCAGAGTTACAGTGCTTTACCTCCATTTTTCCTACAATATTTTTTACCTTCTTTTGTCATCTTCACCTACCTTGAGCTGGGCTTCACCCTTCTCCTGTCTGGTTGAATTTTAGCAAGGAAGTTGGGAAGGATTGAAAGGGTAGACACTCTTTTACTCTTCATTGAAACTCACAATAACCACAGAGACATTTTTTATAATATGCTTTGTTAGAAAATATTCCAATCTAATAATATTCCTAGGGACACAGCACAAACCATTTTACTGCCACATCTGCCTTACATGCCTATAAATGCAAGGGGCATACATCTGTCCCTCAAGTCCTCTGATTGGCTGCGCCACAATAAATTGATCACTTAGTTGTCACCTCCTGTGTTCATGACCTGTGTTATTGCCTTTGCTATGCTATTTTTAACAGTTTGCTTGTAGGGTCCCTCAAAGTTTTGACTCTGGACTAACTGGTTTAGCCCTCTTTCCCTTTTCTCGCAGATTTCTTTGGCAAGGACCTTCAACATCTAGCTTCTCCCTGTCACATGAGACTGAAACATGATGGTTTTTGTGTTGCAAATCCTCCACATCTGACAGCTACTGTTGTTCATAGTTTCGCTCCTCTTATGAAGGCGTATGTGTAGCTCATGAAAGGCTTCCTTTTAATACCCACTTCTCAATGTTCTTTGAGATACAAATCAAATGGTGCCTTTGTCTGTTCATGAAGTGGAGTACCACACAGTTTCTCCAAACATTTCATAGAAACATTTTCCATTTACAGTTTCTTATTTAGATGTTGGAGATTTGGAGATCTCCATGGAAATTATTTTCTCCTTATTTCCTTTCAAAGTAGGTTTTGAGCTATAACTTTGTCAACTGAGATGACTGCGTGTGTCTGGAAGAAAGATTAAAATGCAGAGCAAACCCATTCTTAGGTGCTTCGTTGGACCACAGCTCATGCATGATGTACCATTGAATTACCATTGTAAATCTAAATGAAAATCACAAGGAGCTCCAGAAAATATTGGATGGTCACTGAAAGCTATTGATCTCTGCTTTTTCACACTAACTTGCCCTGAAACACAAACCCCAGAAAATTTCAAGATGAGTTTTTTTTTTAATTCTTTGGTCCTTAGTCATATGTTCACCCTGTAGTTGATTATACTAGTAATGTTGATTCCCTGGAATTAAATTCTCTAGTTTCTAGTGTGCACTTACAGAAGTCTCATCTGATTCCTACACTGTTTCTTGGCATTGCACTCTACAGCATTTTGAGGAAACATGGTTTCCCCAGAAATGTGTTGGAACATATGACAGTCATCTGTTGTTAATAACTTTCCCACATTTTAAAACTTCCTAAGGTAATTCAAAACAAAACACTGCCATACTTTATACCATCAACTGGGTAGGTTTTAGATTGATGGTTTAGTGCATAAAAATCTGATCCTTCTTTTGAGAATGTATCACCTTGGAAAATTGAACTGTGGTAGGGAATCTGTGCATGAGGGCCCTGAGTACACCAGACTAATTATCCTGACCAACCTGTAACCATCTTTCCCTGTAATCTTCCTTTGGATTCCCTTCCAACCCACCCACCTGAGATTTAGTTGCCTAGGTACAATGTCATCTCTGGTATAGCACAGCTGTTTAGCCTTGGACCAGACTTACATGAAAACAGCTAAATTGTAGGCAAAAGCCCCCATCTGGGGCCTCCACTACGCACTCTCATACTTTGGCATGGGAGCTGCATTTTAGCTCATTCTTGTCTTTGGTTCTTGCCTGAGCTACAGTGAATGTAGTGCCTGTCCTTGCAACTTGCTATTCCTTGCTTTGCCTTGCTGACAGTTCTGTATCTGGGAAGGAATTGCCACATGCATCAACACAGGCTAGGAGATGGCTGGCTGGAAAGCAGCTTTGCAGAAAAGAACCTGGGAGTCCTGGTGGACAAGTTAACCATGAATCAGCAATGTACATTTATGGCAGCAAGAAGGCTTACATTGTCTTGGGCTTCATTAGGAAAGAAAGATGGGCCCGAAGTTTTCTCAGGGAAATGGTCAGAGGCAGTGGGAATAAACTGAAACATAAGAAATTCCATTTAAACATGAGAAAAATAATTCTTACTGTGGGGGTGGTCAGGCACTGGACCAGGTTGCCTGGAGAGATTATAGAGTGTTCACCTTGGAGATACTCAAAACTTGACCAGACACAGCCCTAACTCTTATTGACCCTGCTTTGAACAAGGAGGTTGGACTAGATGGTTGCCAGGGGTCCCTTCCAAACTCAGTCATTCTGTGCTTGTATGATAGGGCTTCCTGGGTTGACCTTGGATCTACCTTGTGACTTGTCTGGTAGTCACTGGACTGCTTCCTTAACTTGCCTACCATCACCAGAACTGCTCTACTTCTCTTGCTCTGGTTGGTGAGGTTATTGCCCCATGCCTGCCCTGCTGTCACCCTCAGCTCCTGGGTCACCTTGTACAGCAGCTGGCCCTTGCTACTCTCTGACTCTGATTAACAGTGTTATTTGCAGCATATTCAGGGATCAGTTACACTCTAATTTTTTGCCTTAGGAGTCTCTAAGAAAGGCAGTATCATCTGCACTAGAACTTTCTCCAAGACTACTTTCAGCTGTATTTTTAATTGCATGGTTGGGAAAGTCTATGTGTGTTTTCATATTTCTCTAACATCTGATTAAATCCTCAGGTAAAACAGGGCAACGCATTGCCAGCTAAGAGACCTGGTTTTCAATGGGATCTAACCTTACTGCCAACAGTTATAATAGGTCAAGCCTCTGAGCCATTAGCAGGTTGATCCTCTCTTTATCTTTAGAGTTTGGTTCCTGCATGGGACTCTTTTTACTGGATGAATGAGGAATATTATATTGCAAAATAGTTTTTAATGATGGAGTGTTTCTTATCACACACAGGCTTTTACACAGGATTTCACTTCATCCAGAAAATTAGCCTGCCAGTGTCAGCCCTTCCAATTGCCTTCTTTAGGCATGTTTTGCTTTTTGGTATTTTTAAAATAGGAAATTTAGAAAGATTCTCTCATGTATTTTGTGTCTACTACAGAGCACAAGACAGAATTGAAATTTTCAATGTAAGGGATTTTCACTAGATAACTGTATGGTATGAAAACTTGTTATGAGATAGCTAAAAAGGTACTCCTGATGTAATTAACTAGACATTCAACAAACATTTAGCTAGAGCTCAGACATCACTGGTGGTATTGATTTGAAATGTCTCAATAACTGTGATTTATAAGGCTGCCACAAAAACACCCATTCACATGTCTACTAAGTATGATTCTCTTCTTGAATCATTGGAGAATGCTGGTAGTGTTTTTTGGTTGGGATGTTTTTTGTGTGGGTTTTTTTTTAAATTGTTGTGGGTTTTTTTGTTTGTTTGTGGCTTTTTTTTTTTTTTTTTCCCCACAGTTGTATGTAACAATAGTGTCCTCTTCTTTTCATTTAAAATAAATTCTGTCGATGCCTCAAAGTCTTCCCCCATGTTAGACTTCACAGAAGGTCTGGCATCTTTACCCCATATCAGTATTTAAGATAGTAATATAATTCTTGTAAGAGAAAATTATGTAAAAGTTTCAATTAATTTTAACCTTATTACTTATCAAGATTTTCAGGATTTGATATTCCTCTTACTAAGCATGTACAGCTGGTCAGGAGAGGAGAAAAGAGAAGAACACAACCTAGCTGATTCTGTGATTCTGTGAACAAGTTAAATTTAAATAGGGGGAGATATTATCTTTTCAATAGTCATGACCCAAATCCAGGGTGTCGTGGTTTAAATCCGGCTGGCAGCCATACACCACACAGGTGCTCGCTCACCGTCCCCTGTCCAGGGGATGGAGAAAGAATCGGAGGGTAAGGGAAGACTTGTAGGTTGCAATAAAAACAGTTTAATAATTGAAATAAAACAATCACAATAATAGAGAGTACAAATGGGTAATGTACAGTGTGATTGTTCACCACCCACTCACTGATACTCAGCCTGTTCCTGGCTAGCAATTCTGAAAAGACTGAGATCCCGAAAACGCAATCCCAAAAATGAGAAAGAACTCCCTCCTTCCCAGCTGCCCCTCCTTTATATACTGAGTATGGCTTTACATGATATGGAATATTCCATTGGCTAATTTGGGTCTAGTGTTCTGGCTGGGCTCTTGCCCAGTTTATTGTACATCTGAGCACGGACAGGACATGGGGAGTTGGAAAGTCCTTGATCTCTTAGTAACAACTGAAAACGTCAGTGCATTATCAACATTCTTCTTATACCAAATCCCATATTGAATCCAAAACACAGCACTATTACAGTTACTAAGAAGAAAAATTAACTCCAACCCAGTAAAAACCAAGATACAGGACTTGAGCTCTACATTTCTGAGGACTGAATTTTGTCCTTTTTTACGTTAATTGCAGCATTCAGTAGGTGGGTTTGCCTGATCCATTCCAAACTGCTTGTCATTTTGTCTTGGAGTATTGTATTACTTCAGTTCTGATTGGCGTTGTACGTTACAGTATTTAGTAAAAAAACTATGTTGTGTTCATTTGATCATTTGTTCAAAATGATTTTACTTGGAGGCTTTTACTCATGCCAGCCTTGCAGTTCCATTGTGCTCTAAGGAAGTTTTATTATGATTTACGTAGTTAAATCTTTTAGTATGCTTACAGTTTGTAACAGAGTAACCATGTTTTTTTAAAAAATATTTTGTATTTTAAATTTAGACTATAAAAGAGAAGTTATAGTGAATGTTCAGACTTTCAGCTCATTACCTGCTTAAAAATTTATGGACATTTGTACAAAAAGATGTCACGTGCTTAGCACTGCTGTTTACTCTTTAAAGAAGTAAAATTTCACTTAGTCACTGATTTTGTAACCATACATTTGTTATAAGTTTTTTCGAAGATTTATTTGATGCTCAGACTTAAAATCCATGGTAAGTCTTTTTTCAATTCATGGTTCACTTTCAGTGATTTGAGTTAACTGTTATTGGAATATGCTTCTGGCCAAAAAATAGCAAAATTTCTTCTTGCTAGAGTATTTCCTCTAATAGTTTTTGAAAAGAGAGCGGTGATTTTAAAATGTTATCTATAGAAAAAAAAAAGGTTTGTCCTACCTCAGGATATTTACATCTTTGCTAGGAGTTCATAAGCAGAATTTTAAAAGTATCTGACTTAAAACATCATGGCCCATTTTTATATGATGACACAGACTATGATCTTTTTTTACTTAAAGGAGGTTTACATATATGAGGCAGTAACATGCCCACTGAAAGCTTTTCTTCCCCTATATGCCAGTTTGATTTTTTTAATTTGTAGACTTAAATCTTACCTATGAATAACAAAATGCAAGAATTGCTTTTAAATACTGGGAAATATGAACATGCAAAGGAGAATTCAGAACTTTTTAAAAATGTGAGTAACATACTCATATTGAAACTCTACTAAAAATGTCACAGAAAAAAAATGACTACATCGATAAGAAATGAAGGAAATGTTAAAGGATACCCTTATTCTACATCACCAGTGTGGAGAGACTAATCAAATCTTACACTATCATAGCATGGCATTGATAGATATTAAGCATAGGATATCTCATTCCCCTGGCAGACTGACAAACTACTAATACATGATCTGAAGTGATAGGGGATTATCAACAATGGAGATTGCAATGTGAAAAAATGGAATGTCTATTTCTTTGCTTATGGCTCTAGTTTCTATTATAAAGCTTTGGTTTTATGTATATGTTTCTATCATCCATGCTTTTCATATTAATGGATACCTTAAAATACAACATTTCAGTTATCTTTTATTTAATGTGTAAGTATTTGTTCCTTGTTTCTGCAACCTTCCCAGCAGCATAGCCTTCCTTTTCATATGAAACTTAAGGAATATTTTGTGCATCATTTTATCAAAGAACATATGTCAGTCCTGTTATTCACTAGCTGTTCTTGTGTACAGAGGTAGAGATGAATGTCTGCTACATAATAGCTGTTTTACTATGAATACTATTTCATAAATCTAAGTGAAATTTGAACTCATAGGATACAGATGCATAGATGAAAGCCATCTTATTAGAAATGATAACATTAATGAATTTTTACCAAACTGTTAATTCCTCTGACTGGGTAAGATCAGCATAAGGATTCACTGTATAATGACATAACCACAAAAGTTTAATTTGGTACACTAGGCAGATGTGCACAAATGTACTAATCAAATGGAGTAACAGATTTCCTGCAGCTGCAATGATAGCTAAAAAAAAAAATAAAATTAATATTAGATATGTGTTTATAAGTCTATATATAAAAATTAATTCATGCATAGTAAAAAAATGTATTCCCTATGTCTTACCTGGATGTCACCTCTGACACTTAACTTCCTACCTTAATCTTGCTCACAGTTTCAGCATCTATATATCTGTGTGGTGGGGAGCATTTTTTCCTGTCATTAGATATTCACATTCTGATGTATGCTTTGATTCCCAGATTCTGTTTGTTTTACTTGTGTTTGACTTCTGCTTTACTGATATCTATCTTTACTTCATTGTGTTACCTCACTTAATTATACTTAATAAACATCTTTGAAAGTGGGTTAAACAATACCTAGATATGAAAACTTACAATTAATCCATATATAATTATAGTTATTACTGTTTAACCTCTTTTCTACAGGCATTAAAATTCAAAATTCTGATAAAAAATAAAAAAGTTGGAACCATTGAGGAAGGTATGCTCAGGAGAAATGCTGAGAGTCATGGTGAGACAGGAGAAATTTCTGAATTTGAATATCTGTCTGATGAAGCTGAGACTGATGAAAAAGCCCCTCTTTACCGAAGGACTCGCTCCTCAAAAAGAAAAAATGAACACAGCCATTCACTCCCACCTCGAAAAAAGGCAAAGGTAATTTTTGTCTCTATTGAATTTAGAAAACACATAGATATATGACAGCTTTTTTTAAGAGGAAGTAATACACCATCTTAAAATAGAGACTAAATTTAAATGGTAGGCTTTAAAATTACTTGGAGCAATATATTTTTCTGATTCTTACAAGATGCTTCCCTGTGATCCTGTCCTAAACTCCACTTACGTTTTATTTTTCACTTTCAAGTCTTGTGTTTGGCCCAGGTGCTCAATAATACAATAGAATTAAGATAAAGTTGCTCAATTATTTTGTTGGTCTCAAGTTCCTCCTGGACCTATGCATGGAGAACACTCTTAACAGTTTCTGATGATGAAGGACAGTGAACTATTTCTTTCCACAGTACACCAGTATATCTTGGAGAATTTTAGAGTTCCCATTCCCCCACTTGCTTCTGTTCTGGATTTACACACAAAATTTGGTGTAGAGATCTGGTTGCACTAAACCATTTTTAAGCACTTATAACAGAAAAGGTTTTTTACATTTATCATGTAGAGACGACATTAAATACTACTTCTGAAAGTGTAAAAATTGGATGTAATCTTCTTTCCGATAGTCAAATTGAACTTACTTTTTAAGCCAAGTAGCAATTCTCTGCATAGAAATCTGTTGGTCCATCAGGGTATGAACTCCTTTGTTCAAGTTTTTTAAGCAGGCAGGAGGCACCCATTATCCAGTCATTTTTACACATCATGCTCTGAATTATCTGTGTGGCGGTAGACTAGCAATGCTCCTCAGGGCTCAGTGTTTTTGTCAAGAGGCAGTGTCCCTTCCTATTTGTCTCTCCTCGAAGTGATTTGGAGGTCAAGATCTTTGCTTCTTTCTCTTTCCGTCTGATATAGAGAGATTAAGGAAAAAATCTGAAGAAAGATGGAGTCCTCTTTGAAGAGAAAAGGCCAGATTTCCAGATAATAGGGTCACATATATTTGTAACATTACATTACTGTACAAAACATATACCACATACATCTTGATCAACAACAGCAACAGCAGATGTCTGGTCATGTTTCACAGGCAGAAGAGAAAATGGTTCTGGGGTTCCACTTTATTGGAGTGGGAGTATTTCTTCCGAGGTCCCACTTTGTTGCTTTATTGGAAAATGGGAGAGCATTTGAATCAACATCCAAGATACCCTAGTGATGCTGTTGGCTTTGGCTGTGTCACTGCCTTTCATATTCAGAGCTGTATTATTCAGGAGTTTTGTGACAGTAGACTCCTATTGCTCTTCATGGTACATAGCCCCAGAATAGTTAATGAACTTCAAGTAGTTTAAGAGTCACAAACAGGTAATCCTTATTATTTTGTCAGCTGAGAATTTGCTTTCAAAATTTTTAATGGAATACAAACAATATTAACACCATCAGCACTTAGATGGCTCCTACCACTAATTAGTTACTGCTTTAGTAATGGAGCAAGACTAAGCAAAGATTTTGTCCAAATAACTTTCCATCTTAATTAAGAAGAACAGAAATTTCCTAACTTTAGAGCAATGCTTGGAGAAATATACCTATATTTGATTTGCTTGGCATGGTAAACTATTCTCTTCTTAATCTACATTTTGTAGTTGAGTTTATGCTATTGATATATAGATTCTCCTATTCTTTTTTTTTTTTTTCAAGTACTTGCTGCCAGTACACCTTTTCTAGTACTTTATGTATCTAGAAAAATAAAGTTGGACATATATTTTAAATGAGAAATGTTAAGAGCCATGACAAATTATGTTAATTTACATAACAGACTCAGAAGCAGGGAAATGATAAATCTGTCCAACAGAACACTGTGCTAAGAAACAGTGAAAGCATCTCTCCATTCATCCTACAATTGCTATGATGTACATAAAGACAATAAATTTATCTCTGACTGGATCAACTCTCACTATCTAAATTAATATCTTAAGCTCAAATATTCATTAATTGTGACACATTTCCCCATGCTTTCTGCATCCAAAACAGTAGTTTCTTCTAATGGTTAATAATACTGGTGAAATATGTGTTATTGTGATTTTTTCTTCCATTATTTTATATTATTATTTTTATTAGATGAAGATGAAAATTGCCATTGGCCTGTCAGACCTTGTGATTTATACCAAATCTGAGAAATTTGTGAGCTTTGAGCATTCCTTAGCTAATCAGAAGTGCTTTGAAAATAATTCCATTGGAGAGGTTCGAGCACGGAAATTTGTAAAACATTCAGGTAATTTCTTTTGATTTATTCAGATAAAAGTTACAATGTTGCTATAGTTCACTGCTTAGGCATTGGAAGGGTTAAAATTTTATTTGGTTCTTTTTATAACATTATGTTAGAAATAGCTTGTCATTTGCACTGCATTTTAAAATTTTGATTGGTTTTGTGAGGAAAACACACTCAGCTTTGTTTTAATATTAACGTAATATACAAGATGTATTAATACCTTTTGATTCATTATTTTTTGCATCAAATAATTTAGAAGTTGCAATCAATACTTGAAAATATGTGGAATAGATTTCACACCCCACTCCATGTATGGTCTGTAGTACTCACTGGAATTGGGCATGCAGTACTCCTGGCTTTGATAAGAGAATCTGCATTGATGGGATGAATAAACCCCATAGCAGGCAGTTTGCTCCATTGGACCAGGTTTTTCATACCAGCTAAAATGGATTATTCAAAACTCATTCTGTGTTGGAGCATCTCCAGTTGGTGCAGCAAATACAGTGCACTCTTCTGTTTTAACTCCACCTGTCTGCCAAAAGCCTTAAGGGATTGTTAAGAACAGAGATCACTGACCATGAGAATGAAGTCTGCCCCAGACCCATTCATTCAGGGTCAGCCCAGCTGCTATCCACCATTTTGTGGAGATGATTCAATGGTTGGTTGGGTGAACAGTGCTGAATGGCATCAAAGTAAGTAGGTTTTTTTCAGTTTTCCACAGTCAGAATCCTCTCCTGTCTCTCTAGCAATACAGTGAACATAAAAGTAGATCTAGTATAAAAAAAAAAAAAAAAAAAAAAAAAAAAAAAAAAGAATCACAGTGATGACCCTGGAAATGTAAAACTTTCTGTTTAGTTACTAAACAGGAATAGTATAGATAGAAGTAATCTGAAGTTTTTAACATCTGTATAGTTTATGCCTTTGTGGAAGGGGAACACTACTAGGTGGAAGAAAATCAAGTTACTTGAATAGTTCACATCTTCTGAAGATTATAAATGAACCAATTAAGCATCTTTTAGAAGTGTGCTGTTCACAGGTTTTGAAATTATTCAGTCATTTTATTTAAACCTTAAAAAGCAATCAAGCTAAGATCATTTTAGGATGATTTTTTTTTCCCTTTTTGAACTATTAAAGAATGAGTGGGCTTTTTGATCAGTTTCTTGTTTGTTGTCTTTTAATTTTCCATGAGAATAAACATGTGTAAAAATTATATATTTACCTGACAGAGAGGTGACAAAAGAGAACATTTCCATGAAGGAATGCTTCTTGGTTATTGAACTTTTAACAGAAGTCTGAACTGTGCACACCAATACTATCAGATTCAAATATACACAAAATATTAAGGTTCTAAAATATGATTTAGACATATCTCCAAAGTGGCCCATATGCTAATTTGGAAAAATACATTGATACGATATACTCATTTTGTGGGGGGGGAAAAAAAAAAAAAAAAAAGCTATATCAGATTATTATATTTTTATTATTATTTTTTCAAATCGAAACTCTTTATTAATAAAGTTTTTCCCACCAAGGTTTTATCATTCTGTTTTTCAGCTAAAGAATTTGTTTCGCATACTTCAAGATTCATTACAAGAATCTATCCTAAAGGAACAAGAGCAAACTCTTCAAATTATAATCCACAAGAGTTCTGGAATGTGGGGTGTCAAATGGGTATGTGCATTTGCAGAGACTTGTACTCCAGGCTTTGCAGAGTCTATACAGATAAGAGAGTTTATCCTTCCTGTAGTATTATTTTGTATTATGTAAGTTACATATTTTTCCTTAGTGGCATGACTTTCATTTCGTTATCTCAATTTCTCCTTCAATCTACATATTCTAGTAATTTTTCATCCCAGAATCCAGGAATTTTGGTATATAATAAATAAGGGGAATATTATTTTCAACTATTTATTTTTTTAATTAGTTACAATTAGGCCCTAACTAATTATCCCAAATATCCCAGTTTATTATAAATAATTAATTTCTTTAAACTAGTTTTTCTTCTATTGGATAACAAGAAAAACACTAGTAAAAACAATATATTTTTAAGCTTTGAATCTTATTTTGCATTACTTCTAGCCCTAAAGCATGATTTTATTTTATGAATCAGTGTAGCAAAAGCACACACATAAACAACTTCCAACAGCTAAACCAGAATTTTCTTATTTTTCTTCATATATTTTCTCCTTTTTTATTAATAATTCTATGGTATTTATCTGTGTGTGTCTGTAAGGAGAGTCCAAATTATAATTTCTATTTTACTGCCTGTTTCGGCTGAAATGATTAACTTTGTTAACTTAGGTTTTGAGGTAAAAATGAGTGTGCTATGCATTAAGCACAGTACTGAAAAAAAAAATAATTGTAATATACCTTCCAAGAAAATGAAAATAGATTACATTCTTTTGCATGCTGTGTTAATCAAATTACATAACCTCCATCCTTATTTGTTAGCTGTGGCTAAGGTATAAATGGAACATGATTATAAAGGAAAATGGGAATGGCAGATGCTGCTCTTCCCCCTCCCCC